CCCTCCCCCCCCCCCAACCTTCCCCCCTCCCCCCTTCCCCCCCTCCCCCCTTCCCCCCTCCCCGTCTCTAACAGGCCGTGGAGGCCACCAACACGACGCTGGAGCGCATGCTGCGCGCCTACGGCCTGACCTCCACCATCCTGGTGCCGAGCGACGCGGCCTTTGACGCCGCACTGGCGGCCTACGGCCCCGCGCTGCGCGACGCGGCGCTGCTCACCGAGATCCTCAAGTTCCACATCCTGCCCCCCGAGCCCCGCACGCGCGGCCTGTGGACCAGCCCCTTCCTGTCCGTGGGCGCCACGGTCTACACCCTGTTCGACGGCGTGGCGAACCTGAAGACCGCCAAGAAGGCGTTGCCGGCGGGCACCACCGCGCAGGGCGGCCTGACGGGCATCGTCATCAGCGGCCCGGTGAACAGCGCCACCGTGGTGGAGAGTGACATCCGCGCCTGCAAGACCTTCATCACCATCATCGACGAGGTGCTGCTGCCCTTCGACCCCACCGGCATCGACGCCTCCAACGACTCCGGCGCCCTGGGCGCGGCCCTGGGCGCGGGCACCTGCTCCGTGGTGCCCAACGCGCAGATCAACGCGACCACCCTGGTGCAGGGCGGGTCCAACCCGCAGGCCTCCCCCGCCGCCTGCTGCGCGTCCTGCGCCGCCAATGCCGAGTGCAACACCTGGTCGTACTGCGGCCTGGCTGGGGGGTGCCGCTTCCCGGAGGGCCTCGTCATCCCGGTGTGTGGCCGGAGGAATGGGGAGGTCCGCGCCTGCGTGCTAGCGTGGGTTGCCTGTGCCCCAAGGCTCCCGCAAACTCCTGAACAGACTCCGCCTCACACCCCGCCTCCCTGCAGTACGGCTCCTGCGAGCTCAAACGCTCTGCCGAGCTGGCGGCGGGGCAGGCGCCAATCTACGGCAACAGCGGGATCGATGTCGTGCCCGTGCTGGCGGGCTTCAACGTCCCCGTCCCAGACTCCGAGGCGGGAGCGGCGACGGCGGCCACCGCCGCGCCAGCTGGCGAGACACTGGTCGGCACCGCTGGCCGCTGAGCTGCGGAGCTTGCTGGTCCGTGGTGGGATACGCCATCGGTGCTTGCCTGGCGTGGGTTGCCACAAGGCCTCTGCTACCCCAGATTGCATCTTTGTTTGTGTGATGGAACTGGGTCCATACCATTAATTATCAGGCCTCAATGGTGATGTCGGGAACTCACAGCAAGACCTTTGCGATTGAGCAACGTGGACGGAGGGGCTGACGAGCTGGTCGAAGCCGGGAGTACGTCGTGCACATCATCGGTGCAGCAGCGCATTGTGATCGTGACGGCTGTGCAGACGGTGCTGCGAGGACACGTCTGGACAGTTGGCTTTGTGACGGAGCAATCGTCAGGTGTGGCCACCTACCTCCGCATGCTTTGGCTTTTCAAGGCTGGGTTGATAACTCGCTGGGAGAAGCAAGAGGGGAAACACCAACTGGTGTTGGGACAGACAACAAGAGCGCGGCCCACTGCGGTTTCTTCCACCGTCCCAGAACGAGATGGAAATCAAGTTGACGAGAGCAGGTGGTGCCGCATGGGCATGGAAGGACAGCTGAGTGTCGCTGGCTGGGATCATACTCCCACCCAGAGGCTGTGCCGATGGCGTAAATCAGTTGCATATGTACCCAACTTCATGCCATCTCGCACATGCGCACATCATCATGCCAAAGCGGGGAGGAACCAGGGTTCCAGACATACTGTGCGTTACGCCGAGGATGGCAGTGGCCAGCCACCGGCCACCTCCTCTGGGCAGGGCAGACCCAGGCCGGGGGAGCCGCCGAGGTCGTAGCCATTGGCAAACTGGATGCCCACAGGGATCATGCCGCACATGTTGGGGAGATAGGTTAGGTTGGCATTCTGCGCGCGGACGTTGGCAAAATTGTACAGGGTGCCTGCGAGGTTTGGGGGGGGGCAAAGTGATGAACTTCTAGGAGCACAGAAGGACAGAGTGGGTCAGCACAGCATGGCGTGAAACCTCATGATGCACACAGGGTGGGACATCGTATGTCTGTGGTGATACAAGTCGTCCTCGCATCCCACAATCGCTTGAGCATCTAATGGAGTGGACAGCAATGACAAGGGCGCCTCGGATGCACCACACTTTCCAGGGTCCACACCCGATGCCATGTCTATGCTGCAGATCCAACTCACCCTCAAACTTGTTGCCGCCAATGGCCAGCTGCGTCATGCGTCCATTGACGTTCTTATACGAGTCCGGGAACGAGCCCTCCAACTCATTGTCTGGAGGGGGGAATATAGGGGAGGCTGTGTTGCCAGGCTCCAAGCATATGGACCAACTGTGGCATGCGCAAGTATGAGAATCCCTGAATTCCCTCCATTAGCTAGTCGCAGCACCTCTGTGCACCCCGTCCCTCACCAAAGATCCTGATCCACTCCAAGGCCTTGAGGTCCCCCATCGACTCCGGCATGCTTCCCGTCAGGTGGTTGCCCTGCATCTTCAGCCGAACCAGGCGTGGGATGGTGCCTGTGGACTCCGGGATGGGCCCTGCGAGGGGGAGGCATGATGCGTACAAGGCTTCAGGAGTCGGAAATAATACATATCGGATGTCAGGGGGCTCTCCCAGTCCATCTCTTGCACACGTGCACATCTATTTCCACAGTGTTATGGCGCCCTGCAATCTTGATGTCCCTTGGCATGTTGTCCGGCAGATTGCACGCACTTGTGACCCCCCTGGTCATGCCTTGTCAAGGCTACGCCAGCCTTAAAAACTCCTCCCCATGCTTCAAGCCGTGCCAACGCACCAGTCATGTGGTTCCTGGAAAAGTCCCACTCTTCGAGCACCGGGAGGCAGGAGAGGTTCCCGCCAAGGTAGGTAGGCAGGTTGCCCTCCAGGTTGCAGACCTTGAAGTCCCACTCCTTCACATGCACAAAGTCGCAGATCTCCCGTGGTGGGGTGCCCTCCACCCCAGTCAGGGAGAAGTGGACGTTCGTCACATACCCATCCCCGGGCACATGGTCATCCCCTGGGGGGAACGGGACGAGAGGCCGGTGGGTGAGCCTATCGATGTTCCAAGCAGGATCACTGCCCCAGCACTCTCCCCATCGATGTGGAGATATCCTTTCCCCCCAACCATCCACTTCCCAAGACACAACTCACGGAAGAGGGTGTTGGTGCTGCGACAGGATATGTGCTCCCAGTTCTTTACGCGGAGGAGGAGATGGCAGTGCTATACTGAGTTGACAAATAAGAAAACATCAAGCGAGTGGACAACAGCAGGGACCCTTTTGCCGAACTCCAACGGTACTCACCCCCCACCAGCCCTCTCCACAGGGATCGCAGTCGCTCCCCTTGCTGTTGTTCGCCGGTGTGGGGCACTAAGAGGGCACGGTGAGGAGAAATGTGCGTGATGCTGGAGTATTATCATCCACATCGCTGCACACGGCAGCACCCCCCCTCTACGCGACCGCCACTCACTGTCCATGACGACAGGGCCGCCTCCCAGTGGGGTCCTGCGGTCTTGTACTTGTCCCTGAAAGCCACCAGTCTTTGATCTAAACGGGTATGAGGAGTTTGGAGGGGTTCGAAATGGCACTCCGAAGGGCGGAGCATGGCAGAGATCCCCCCACACGTACACTCGTCAGGGTGGGTGAAGGCCCATCCGCCGGGCACCGTCGCGGCTGCGACGCAAAGAAAAAGGACGATCTGGGCACACCGCATCCTGCAATTGTGTCTGTAAAGTGTTGTAATGCCTATACGTGTGCTGCAAACATCGTCTGATGAGTTTCGCCAAGGAAGAAGCTGGTGTTCCTGGCACACTATGGGACGACTCAAAGATCCCATGGCGAGATCAGCTTCTTCGGCCGGACCGGGAGAGATCAGAAGCTGCAACCGAGGGACAATAGCAGAGGCACACTGCTCGGAGCGCAACATGCACTCAGAAAGAGGCAATTGAGTCCCCTATTCAGAAAGCATGCACTCCGCTGCTGTGTCGCGCGGCATGCGGGTGGCGATGCCCAGTGCCGCCTCCGCTCTCAAGATCGTGCTGCTTGCCGCGCTCCTAGGTACATAACCACGGGCCAGCTATACATGCTCGAAGCTTGTAAAGATCTCCAGACTAATGCAGAATTCTCCACTCCGCGATCAGGTGTCTCATCCGCCACGGTGGTCGTCAACACCCACAATGGGGAGACCTTCGCCTACCTGAAACCCCACCAGACCGTGCCGCCCTCGGCCAAGACCGCCAGCCTGGCCACCTCCGAGAACTGCATCTGTTCCGATGCGGACCCTCGCTCCGACGATACCCTGCTCGTCACGTACGACTGCTACCATCAGGCCCTGTACGGCAACTGCAATGCCACATTCATGAAGGACTACCTGGAGGAGCTCGTGCAGAACGATGGTGTGTACCTGCCAGCGCGTTTGGGGGGGGGGGAGGGGGGGTAATGATAGACCTTAATAAGTTCAAATGGTCTTTGAGGGTGGGAGGGGTGATTTGAAGACAGGCCTGCACATTGGAACTGAAATGGAGGTAGGGGATGGGGATGGGAGAAGTGTGACTCTCAAACCCTTAGCCTAGGTCAAGGTCAAATCCCCATGCCAAGCCTTTCCCCCCTCTACACACACTTTTGCAGGCTACTGCCAGATCAGCTGTGGCCGCTGCAAATGCTGCTCTGCCCCCTGGGATGTCATCCAGAAGACGGGGAGCAGCCGTTTCCTACAGGTTTGCACTACGTGGATGGGCATAACGGGAGGTTGCCCGATGTTCCAGAGGGCGCGCAATGCAAGTCCCCACCATGTCATGCACTGGCTGCACCCTGCACATCTGCGCTGTGCATGCTCGCAGAGTCATGAAAGGGGTGGGTTGTTTCAGCAACCCTCTGCAACCCCCGGGCTGCTCCTTGCCTTTGACAATGTGTCTGCCTATCGCACATCTGACTAGCTCTGGCACTCACCCATTGCATGCTCATTTGCCGCCCCTCCCACCCCCCTCCTGCACACCCTCCATGCATCTTGAATTCCATACCCCGATCAAACACCCCACCTCATAACCACCTACTCACACACTCCACCTCATCACACACCGCCTCCACAGGCGGTGGCCGCGACCAACTCATCGCTGGAAGCCACGCTGAAGCGCCCAGGCTACACAGGCACCATCCTGATTCCCAGCGATGCGGCGTTCGAGGCGGCGCTGGCCAAGTACCCAGGCCTGCTGCAGGACCCCGCGGTGCTGCTGCAGGTGCTCAAGTTCCACATCCTGCCCCCCGAACCGCGCACGCGCGGCCTGTGGACCAGCCCCTTCATGGCGGTGGGTGGCACGCTCTTCTCCCTCTACGACGGCGCCGCCAGCATCAGGTCAGCCAAGACCGCGCTGCCCGCGGGCCTGACTGCGCAGGGTGGCGTGACCGGGATCAAGCTGACGGGGCCCGTCAACGGCGCGACCGTGGTGCAGAGCGACCTGCGCGCCTGTAAGACCGTGGTCACCACGCTCGACAGCCTGCTCTGGCCCTTTGACCCCGCCACCCGCCTGTCGGCCACTGCCGATGCCCTTTCCACGCTGCTGGGGGCCTCCGGCTACGCCCTGGCGCCCAACGCCCAGATCAACGGCACCCAGGTCGCGGCGGGGTCGGGGAACACACAGGCCAGCGTGCAGGCCTGCGCCGCGTCATGCGCCAAGGCCTCGGCGTGCAATGCGTGGAGCTACTGCCCGCAGATGGGGGGTTGCCGCTTCCCGGACGGGACAACCGTGAATGTGCGATAAGCTGAGGGCATGAAGGCGGATGGTATTATCTCTTGATTTAGGGTGTGGATGGGAGGCTGTGGATTGAACCCTCGGTGACCTAGGGCTGGAGCACTGTCTTGCCATCGCATGCAATCCCGCCTACTCTTTCCACCACCCCGCTCACCCCCATCCCCACCCTCCACAACGTGCAGTACGGGTCCTGCGAGCTGCTGCACTCGGCCGAGGTGGCCGCGGGGGAGGGGCCGGCCTATGGCAGTAGCGGCTTTGACGAGGTGCCTGTGATCAGCGGCTGGGCGTCACAGGGTGTGACCCCGGCGGCAGAGAAGGCCCCCGCCACCAACCCTGTGGCGACGGCCGGGCGCTGACGCCCCCGCCTTCTGGAGAGCCTGTCCCTCCGCCACCCTGGTCTATTAGCCCCAGATCCAGAAGTGTACTTCAACAAAAAGAGCGTGGGGAACAAGGCATGACTTCGAAACACACCGCAGGTACAAGTTGTGTTGGGGAGACGTTCAAGCGGAAAAAATGCTGTAACCCTGCCACCCGGTGGCGCCCGCCATGACATTGGTGGTGGTAATGCGGCAGTGCACGGGGACAAGGAAGGGGATCTCACACGGGAGATCTTTGTGACAGCCACGCTCCACGCAATGCCTGGAGACGGCAGGGGATGGCGGCATGACCACATTCAGTGCAGTGTCCTCAGTACACTATGAGCTTGAGGGTGGGGTACCCGCACTCCGCCTTGTAGCCCTCGAAGATGCCCTGCATTGCAGCGATGAACTTCTGCAGGTACTCCTCCACCTGCTCCGGGGGCGGGGAATCCACCCTGGGCACGACGATCGGCCTGTGAGGGAAGCAGAGCCAGGATGAGACGGGCGGGGGGGGGGGGGGGGGTGGTCTAGATACGGCTGGCTGTGGCTACTTCACGCGCCGTCAGATTTGGCCGACCTTTCCAAGCCAAGTGGCATGCAGGTGCAATGGTACCCTGACGCCCCTGCAGCCAGAGGTGCGGGAGCGCCCCCATACTCTCCCCACGCACATACACACCATCACAACTCATGACACACGCAGCACTCACTCTCCGATCACGATGTTGATGGGGAACTTCTTGGGCATGGCCGTGCCAAGCGACCCGAAGATGAGCATGGGCACATAGCCAATGCGGCGCACAAAGCTGAAGTACTTGGACTTGGGGATGAGGCTGGTGCGCCAGTCGATGAAGGGGCGCACATACGAGTAGGTCTCCGTCTGGCCAAAGGCAAAGACGGGGACCAGGGGCGTGCCGTGCTGCAGCGCCAGCCTGACGAAGCCGCGGCGGCGGCGCAGGTACACCACCTCGGCCCCGCGCTCCATGTACAGGCACTCCTGCACGCCGCCGGGGCAGAGCGCGACGGAGCTGCCGGAGCGCAGCTGCGCGGCGAAGGAATCGCGGGAGACGGGGCGCGCGCCCAGCCACCACCAGAGGTGACGGGTGAGGGGGGCCCAGAAGCCGGCCGAGGAGGCGAGGAGGCGGGCGTGCTGCAGCTCCGGCAGCACATCCGGATGGGGCTGGGACCCAAACATGGACATGGCCTGCGGCATGACGCTGTGCGGCTCGTACCCTGCAGGGTGGGGGGGTGGAAGGGGTCCGTCAGGGTGGGCGGGTGGAGCAAGGGATGCGAGAGCCGGGAAAGGGCGGCCTGCGTGACAGAATGCAGGGCGGTGGTGGTGTCGGGAAACCGGTTGGGACCCCCGGTCTCGGCGCACCGATCACGAAAGGCTTCTTAGTGTCCTTGAAGGCCTCCCGCTTCACGTAGCGGATGGTGACGGGGTAGTACTCGCTGGCCGCCGTTGTGCAGTAGCGCAGATACCGGGTCATGAATTTGGGGCAGGGCACGTCCAGCGGGGTGAACAGGGCGATGACCAGCAAGGCCAGGCTCACGGTGCCCAGCTTGGGGAAGAAGAAGAGGAGGAGCAAGGTGAATGTGGGCCATAGGGCCCCCGCGACCAGGCCGAAGATCCAGACCGGCAGCGCGAGGTAGTGCCCGACATGGCCCAGGAGGCGCGAGGAGGTCGAGGGGATAGGTCCCGCCCCCCGTTCCGTTTCGACCATGGCTGGTGGAGTTCACTTGGTAATTAAACCGGGTCTGGAAGATGTCGGCTGGGGGCTGATGGAGTTGATGGCACAGACATTTGTAATGACGGAAACGCGCAGCAGCGCTCCATGTGACCGCATGCGCACGGTTATGCGATGGACAGACCCCCGCGCTCTTTGTGGTTTGTTAATGCTCCCATCTGTTGTGGTCCGGAATTTTGAATTGCATAAAGGCTGCTGCCCCAGGAGGTCGCCTGTGCGCGTGCCAGACCCTGTTTGCCAGGGATGCAGGGGGCGCGGGGCCAACTTGCCGTACCCTGGATCACCCCCTAAGCTTATTGTTCTCCGGTGACCATATGAAGATGAGACGAGCAAAAGGAGAATACAAGACCGACGCCTTAGCCACTTGGCCAAAGAGGCTGTTGCGCGTGCCTCTTGCGCGAATCGAACGCGCGATCTTCGGTTGACGATTCTGCAATACCACGCTCGGCAGAGCTGGCATCGACTTAGGCCCAATTGCAATAAATTTCGGCACAGGTACGACAGAACCCCCCAGACGGCTGCACTTTTCTGACTGCTGGGCACATTCTACCGACCGCTCGCCTTCTCGTGTTGAGGAACGGCCACTCTTACAGGGCTGCACAGGGACTATGGGGCGGATGCGGGCTGGGTGGGAGGTAGCTCACGCCATGTTCCCGTCGGCCCGCTGCTCGCGGAGGATGACGGGGACGGAGGTAGGGGGGATGGCCCCCACCTCCGTGATCACCATGCTCACAAACTGGGCGGGCATGGTGTCGTACATCAGGCTGAGCAGGCCCAGGCCCTCCTGCTCGCGCCAGCCTTCCAGCCAGGCCTTCTCCCCGCCCGGCATCTGGCAGGATTTCGAGGGAACAAGGGGGAGGGGGTCAAGATCGTTGGCGCATTAGAAACTCAAACACACAGCAGCCGCGCTCGACACCCCAGGGCAGTGTCCTGCTGCGGCACCCTGCGCGGGACAGGCACGCAGGGCCATACCCAGCCTGGCACCCCCAGGCGCAACCCCCCGGCCACCTCCCCTTGCCGACACACGCCAGGCCCCACCCCGCCGCCGCATCGTTCCCTCTCCTTCTCCCTTCGCCTCCCCCCCACTCTCTCCTCCAACCCCCCAAACCCGCAACCGTCCCACTCACCTCGACCAGGAGGTCTGGGTCGCCCAGCTCGTTGTGCGTGATGGAGTCCAGCTGCACGCGCTCGTGGAACTTGTAGGTCTCGGCGGCCACCAGCACGGGCACGTGCGCCGCGGAGGCGGCCATGGCCACGGCCGCCGACCCGGCGCGCGCCAGCACCGCGCCGTTGCTGAGCACGGCACCCGCACCCAGCAGCACCTTGGTCACCCGCGGCAGCACGAAGCTCAGGCCGTTGAGCGCAACGTACTGCGCGGGCACGCGGGCGGCCAGCAGCGCGCGCAGCATGCGCCGCCCCTCCAGCAGCGGCCGCGCATCGGCCACCACCACGGCGAAGGGGGTGCCTGCCGCGGCGGCGCGCAGGAGCACCGCCGCCACGACCGAGGAGTAGCCGTAGGTCAGCACCACATCGTCGCTCTGGATGCGCTTGGCCGCCTCGCCCGCCAGATGGTCGCCCGCAAACAGGATCTTCTCCTGGACAAAGGAGGAGATGACACCCAGCAGCCGCTCCTTGGCCTGGAAGAAGGGTGTGAGTATTTTGTGGGGGGTTGGGGGACATAAGGGTGAAGGAGAATCGTACGATCGAGAAGGGGCCTTCCGATGGTGGATTCGAGGTGTGATCACGGAGGAAGGCAACAAAGAGGCCACACAGACCAGCTCTTCACGGCGAGCCTCAACCAACGTGGCCCCGCACGCCCCATCCCCTGCAGATATCACGCCCTAGCATATCAGACTTGTCCACGCTTCCTGCCAGCCAGGGTCCCAGGTCCAATGCCCCCGTCCCCCTCTCCCCCCGTCCGTCACCCACCCACCCACCCACCTCGCTCTCCGGGACGCTGGGCTCCAGCTTCAGCTTCTCCACGGCTGCCTTGACGTGCTTGATGGCCGCGCCCATGGACACCGACAGCGGGCGGCAGAAGACCAGGAATGAGATAACCGAGTTGAGCAGCGGGTTGAGCTCGCGCGCAAACTCGCGCCCGCCCGCGCTGCGGAACTCCAGCACCACTTGCCGGAAGACGTCCAGCATGGCAATGCAGCGCGCGTTGGCGCCGCGCAGCGAGCCCTGCGCCAGTGTCAGGCCCAGCTGGATGGCCGGCAGCGGCAGCGCGGCGGCCGTGCCGCGCGCCACAACACCCGCCACGTCCACCTCGTGGTGGCGCGGCAGATGCGCAAACAGCTCCGTGGAGCGGGGCAGGGGGGCGTGCTGCGCGGCAGACCCCGGGCCAGCGCCGG